CCTTCTCTCCAAACACGGCAGAACCAAAACGAGACCCCAACCCAAGCCGCCGGACCTCGCTGCCTGAAATCCGCCGGAGCACAGACCCTCTAACCACACCATCTCAAAACAACAACCAGCCACACCACCAAGATCAACCACCATCAGCCTTCAACTCACGCTCCAACAACCAAAGAACCCCAACGTCCACACCCCTCCCTCGCCTCTCGTACACCAGCTGACCCCTTCTTCTTCTAACCATCAAAACCAGCCGTTCTCCATCTCCTAGACACCTGAAGGAGCAGACAAACCTGAACCCTAAGACAATAGAGAGCAAAAAACAACGACTACCCATAAGCAGCCTTCCACGACCAACCCTCCCAAACCGCCGCCGTCCACTCCGCCTCTGACACCTTCACTGTCGAGCGCCGGTTCTTCTCCAGCCTTAAAAGCGTTAAGCTGCTCCTTCACGTGACAACCAAATTAGGAAAGATAGAATGGGATAGAGGGGAACGGGAAAAAGGAAACACGGGGGATTAGATCTGAAGAAGGCAACGAGACAAAACTTCACAAAAATTACACTCTCAAATAAAACAAACGGACAGAAGACGGGGAAAATAAAAATTACAGATTCATGTTTTTAATTTTTTTCTGATTCTGTTTTCTTGGTGTTCAAGAATGAACTTTGGTTAAAATATGGGTTTGAATCCGAGCTTGGTTGAGTTCCGTCCGGTTTCATTTTCCGATGCTAATTCGAGTTCCGTCTGTGGTTCGTTACATCTCGAGTTCAAAGTAGTGAAACAATCAATTGTCCGGCTATATTGAGGTTCAACTCTTTCATCCTCTATTCGTTTTATGCAAGCTTGATATTAATTATTGGTTTGGTGATATGATCCCGTTGATTCTGTAATTGTTCTCCATAGTTTTGAATTTGCTCACTTAGCTATCTGCTCGTATGTTTACTCGAATTGGTTATAGCTGAATTCTCCTGGTTTGAACTTGCTCACAGTTTCTAAAATGAATATTTGTAGCTTGCTTTAGGCACGTTTAATATATCGTCGTGATTGTGGACACGTTCGCGTGACATGATTACGATTCTAAAAACAAAATCGGAGTATGCATTCGCGCAACTTCGACTAAACTTTCTTAATAATAATAAAGCGTTATTAATTGTGGACACATATGCGTGACATAATTTTTGACGCGCCAAACGAAATAAGTACACGTACGCGTGACCTGTTTCAAGATAAATTCTTAATTAAAAGAGGCAAATGCACATATGTTCTAAAAATGAGTAATTAGACAATTTAATCAAGCCAAGTATGATCAAAGCGACCGTGCTAAAATCACAGAATCCGGGAATGCCTAACACCTTCCCCCGGGTTAACAGAATTCCTTACCCGGATTTCTGTGTTCGCAGACCGTAAATAGAGTCAACTTCCTCGATTCGGGATTTTAACCGATGACTTGGGACACCATAAATTATCCCAAGTGGCGACTCTGATTTTAATTTAAATAATCTCGTTTAGATTATCACTTAAATTGGAAAAACTCCCTTATATCCTTCCGGGGTAGTAAAAAGGAGGTGTGACAAGGATGAAGTTAAGAGAGATAAGCAGAAGTATAAAGTTCGCATGCGAAGGATTCGGCATCCTTCTCACGTTGTTTCGAATCAAAGCTTTGAAAAGGAAAATCTTGGCATAACTGGTAAAATTGCTCCCATATGACCTTGTGTTCACAGGTTCGAACCATGAAGATGGACGATTAAAGAAGAAAGAAAAGAGGGGAAAAGATCAAAAGTAGATAAGGATGAGAAAAGTACAATTCTTTGCTCAACAGAATAGCATCCTATTTATAGAAGGGCGGCGACGGTAGCGCTAGTGGCCGACCAACACTGACACGCATTTGATGTTTTGGGGAAGAGCACCGACATGACATTTCCGGTCATTTCAAGCACCTACGTCAAGAGCGTGACATCATCATGAGAAGCTCGGGGAAATCAAGGTGAAAACCGTTTCTTATCATCTTATTCTAAAAAACGCAGGGACTATCTGTATACGGTCAAAATCATATGACCTCGATCTAGAAGCTCGAGATTCCGCCCTAGGCCCGAGTCCTGGAGAAGGCAAGTTCGAAACCGGTGGACCAGACTCAAACTCGAAGACGGAGTGTAATGCCAGGAAACAGGAGTTCGAGGAATATCGATGTCAAGTGTGCTCAACCTCGATATAGTACCGTTATGGACTTGTACCAGAGTTAGCTAGATTCTTTCCACGTCCCCAAAGTCATGGCGCAAATCACGGGATAGGATTGTACAATTCTGTACTAGACGGTTTGACAATTGTACCAAGAATATTCCCTACTGTAAATAGAAATATTCCTTATTTAGTGTTCCCCCATTATATAAAGGGGATCCCAATCATTTGTAATGCATCTTTTTCACTGAGCAAAGAATATACTATCTTTTTTGCCTGTTGTTCATGAGAATTGTCCCTTAGCTTAATTGTTCCTACTTTGATCTTCTTATTTTATTGTTCTTATTGCCCCAAGCCACCTCGAGGTCACCTTCTCGAGGTCACTACTGCTAATTAACATTGGTTTTGATTCACTTTTATCTTTCATTTTTACATTATATTTCCTGATTATTAATTGGTATTGAACTAAATTACATATCTTTAAAACCACAAATCAAGTTTAATTTTTACTCATATTTTCGAGGTAAACACTATAGGAACTGAGTATTTCTATTATCGAACATTTGTCAGTCACACGATTCTCTCACGGGCCATGACTTCTAGCATATTTTTCCCGTATATGATTTGCATTCACAACATTAAAACAAGATGTAAGTATCACCTAAAGGATGGTTTGTAATACCCCTCTACGTACTTTACTGTTAACTAGTAACATTCAGTACACATGAATAGAAATAAACATGATGGACACCTTTAAACACGTATTAACACGGGAATCTTACATAAATGTCTCAAATAATTTTTAATTTACCAACCTCTAATTATTAATCATATACTTATCAAAACTAGCCAAACACATATAAAAATAAAAATCCAGATAAATGGAGATGGAGTACGATGATCCCGTTGTATAAGAACAAGAGGGATATCTAAAATAGCAATAGCTATCGGGGTATCAAGATACTGAGCCATACTATGAATGTATGGGAGAAGGTGGTGGAGCTGAGGGTGAGGAGGATTGTATCTATCTCAGAGAACCAATTCGGATTTATGCCGGAGCATTCGATTATAGAAGCTATTCATCTTGTTAGGAGGTTGATGGAGCAGTATAGAGAGAAGAAGAGAGACTTACATATGGTGTTCAACGACTTAGAGAAGGCATACGATAAAGTGCCGAGGGAGGTGCTATGGAGATGTTTGGAGGCTAGAGGCATTCCTGTTGCTTACATTAGGGCTATTCAGGACATGTACGAGGGTGCTAAGACTCGGGTGAGGACAGTGGGAGGGGACTCGGATCACTTCCCGGTAGTAATGGGGCTGCATCAGGGGTCGGCGCTCAGCCCATTTCTGTTTGCCCTGGCGATCGATGCGCTGACACATCACATTCAAGGGAGGTGTCGTTGTGCATGTTGTTTGCAGATGATATTGTACAGATTGACGAGACGCATTGTGGTGTTAACGAAATGTTACAGGTTTGAAGACATATTTGGAGTCTAAAGGTTTCAAGTTGAGCAAGAGCAAAATAGAATATTTGGAGTGCAAGTTCAGTGGCGCGACTCAGGAAGAGGACGTAGACGTGAGGCTTGATTCACAAGTCATTCCTAAGAGATAAATTTTCAAGTACTTTGGGTCTATTATATAAGGGAATGGTGAGATTGACGAGGATGTCACACACCGTATTGGGGCGGGATAGATGAAATGAAAGCTCGCTTCCGGTGTTTTGTAATAAGAATGTGCCACCAAAACTTAAAGGTAAGTTCTATAGAGCAGTGGTCAGACCGACTATGTTGTATGTGGTAGAGTGTTGGCCGGTCAAGACATCCCATGTCCAGAAGATGAAGGTGGCGGAGATGAGCATGTTGAGGTGGATATGCGGGCATACCAGGTTAGATAAAGTTAGAAATGAAGCTATTCGGAACAAGGCGGGTGTGTCCCCTGTGGAGGACAAGATGCGGGAAGCGAGACTTAGATGGTTCGGGCATGTGAAGAGGAGAGGAACTGATGCTCTGGTGAGGAGGTGTGAGAGGCTGGCATGGGAAGGCCAACGGAGAGGTAGAGGCAGGCCGAAGAAGTATTGGGGAGATGATTAGGCAAGATACGGCGCTGCTCTAACTCACTGAGGACATGACCATGGATAGGAAGGTGTGAAGGTTGAGAATTAAGATAAAGGGTTAGGTGGTCGAGTGTTGTCCTTGTTTGTAGCAGTAGCTTTGTTGTACCACTTGGTGCCTTCTATGTTTTTTTCGTACACCTAATCTTCTGTTACTACTTGTTGTTGTCTTGTGTTTCGGTTTTCTGATTGCAGTACCTTTTTCTAGTTTTATATTTCTGCATTGTTTGTCAGATCTATTTGCTTGTTATTTCCCCTTCCCTCTCCCCTTCCTAAGTTGAGGGTCTTCCGAAAACAGCCTCTCTTCCTTTTTAAAGGCAGGGGTAAGGTCTGCGTACACTCTACCCTCCCCGGACTCTACTTGTGGGACTACACTTGGGTACATTGTTGTTGTTGATCAGCAATATTAGATGCAAGACGGTAAGAAAATTTCATAGATGAGGTAGCAAAAAAGATGATGAAATACAAAAAAAATATATATATACAAAATTCTAAAAATCTAGGCAAAAATGTACCTTTTTCAATGGGTATGGTTGAAATTCACAGAAAACATATAGATGAGTCAATATACAAATTTTGAGAAAAATTAGAGGTGATTTGGACTGGTTTGGTATCAAAATTCGTAGTTAAAATCGAGTCAAATTTTTTTTTTCTACTACACATGTATCAAACATGTATCACGCATGTATCACACACACAATTATACATGGATATACATGTGATACATATTTGATGCAAATATGATACATATGTGATACACATATAATTTTTTTTCATGTTTCATCTTCTATTTCGAATTTTTATTCAAACTACCTCAAAACTCTGCCAAATCATCTCAAAACTTAGATTCAAACTCCTTAAGATGTACCCAATTTATTCTAATAACACCCACTCAAAAGAAAGCAAAAATTTGACCTCTTTTTTGCTACAAATAGTTGATTGGCTAATATTAGCAATATTTTATGAATTGACCAGTTTTTGTAATAAGTTATTTATAAATGGACATTGCGGATAGTTTGCAAATCAGAATACACCCTGGATTTAAGCATTCACATATACTTTGAAGAGTATTGTACCTTGAGAGTACATCCAGTGACAAGACTTCAAAGTCCAATTAGGAGAATGGGACTGTCGATTAATTTACACAGCCAAATAATCAATGTGATGCTCTGCTGCCATGGCATTTTGTAGCCCTCTTTGTTGCAAAATAGTTGTTCATATTTTAGGTCTCAAGTATGAAGTAACCTTTCTTCTTTAATAAATCTTCTGATAATGGTACATTAACTGTCAGAATGACTTTCATGATTTACTATCTTTTTTAAATATCGACATAACAAAAAACCTTTAGAGTGAAGTTTAAGTTAGTGTTTAGACATAAATTTAGTTGAAACGTGAAAAAAAAGTTTTTAAAGTTATGTTGAAAATAGTTTTTAGAAGTTAGAAGTTGTGTTTGAACATGCATTTTACTTGAAAAAAGTTAGAAGTTTTGTGAGCGAAAGAAAAAATTTCAACCAAAAGCTAGCACAAACCAATTTTCGGAACTTGTCAAATTTTTTTCAAAAATTGATCAAATTCTATGAACAAAAAACATTTTCAATTTTTTTTTTTTTGAAAAAAAAAAAAATCTATGTCCAAAGGGGTGCTAAATATTCTAACTTCACTTGCACGTGATGCAAGGTTGGAATCTCATCAAGGGTCTTTTCTCTTGTTTCTGCTTTTTGCTTTTCATGAAAAGAAAAAGATAATCAAAAGCAACAGCAGTAATCCTCTTTCCTAATTTCTCTCATATATCTGCTAATTTTCTCAATATACCTCCCATTAGAGCCCTAAGTATATTTTTTCTGCTATTAGGGGCTATAATACAATCTCTTTAGCAAAATTGTTTTCTTTTCCTTCTAGAAAAAAAAACATTAAGCTTGACTTTCTTATATAAAGTCTGAAGACAACCTTTATGTGCTGCTTTTTCCACCAAAAAGAACAAGCTAATATTTTTATTAAAAGATTCCCAAGATTTTGGAAACTTTATTCCCCTTCACATGAAATCAAGTCATCACAGAATGATTCTGTATGATCTAAATTTGAACTATTAACCAAAAGGACAGTCCGGTGCACTAAGCTCCCGTTATGCACGGAGTCCAGGGAAGGGCTAGACTACAAGGGTCTATTATATACAGTATTTTATCCTGCATTTCTGCAAGAGACTGTTTCCACGGCTCGAACGCGTGACCTCCTCGTCATATTGGCAGCAACTTTATCAGTTACGCCGGCCTTCTGAACTGTTAACCAAAGTGAACTAAAATGTCTCAAGAAAAAGTTGTGAGTGTACAATTTGACTCCCTGCAGCTATGTATTCCTATCAAGAATGATATTTTCTGTCCAAAGCGAATGCGACTATATAATGCTTCCATTTGGAATAATGGCACCCTTCATAATTACAACTATGCCTCCAGTAATAATGTAGCCATTTGCTTCATTATTACACTCTTGGACATTTTCCTTGTTCAAAATCTGCATGAAAACAAATATGAAGCAGTTTGATAAAGAAAATGAAACTGACAAGATCAAGGCACAATGTTCTGCTATAAGACTTTTTATTTGCAAATTCAAACATCTAGATGTTCATACCTTAACATTTTTGCCAATTCTCACATTCTTATCAATTATTGCTTTCCTTATTTGCGAGCCTTCTCCAATTCCAATAGGAATGTGGATATCCTCCTCTGCGCGACCGCCCTGCACATTTTTACGATGTTAAATATCCTTCCCTAGAAACTTAATCTTATCTTCCTTAGTACCAAGATTTTACTTGAAGATGAACTGGATTCATATAGTCTCCATGTCCTTAATGTGACCATTCTTGAATGCAAATCAAATGTATTCATGTGCCTTACTTGGTAGGTATCAGAACCCATTATTACTGAATCCTCAATTATTGCTCCATCTCCAACTCTTGTCCTCATGCCAACAACTGTACCTCTGATCTTGCATCTCTGCACTCAGAAAACACGAAGCACGAAGAATAAGTTTGTGAGACCAAATGTTTATATAGTCTTGGACTTAATAATAACTCTAAACTTTTTTATAAATTTCAAGGACAATTGATCACTTTTATACATTGAGAAAGCATCCATCTCCGATCACAGAGTCCGTTATAACAGCATCAGTTATCTGAGTTGGAGGTAGGTGTCGAGGCAAAGTGTATAGCGGAGAGTCTTTGTCATACAAGCTGCTATCGAAAATGAAATTTTTGTTAAGTCATTAAAGGGATGCAGTGACTTTTATTCTTGAGACTTTTGAAGATACTGACCAATATGCCTTATTTGTATTCTTTATGCTTTCCATATTTGCGCGATAGTAAGCTTCAATGCTTCTCATATCGTCCCAGTACCCGCTGAATTTGTGTGCATATACCTGTTTGTTCCAAAGAACGGTTTATATTAGAGCAAAAACAAAATATTGACTATCTTTACACCACAAGAAGGAGATATTTTATGTTCAAAAGTTTTGAGAAAATCTTAAAGATCGCAAGTTAGAGCGAAAATTTGGTTGTATATGGTAATACATGACTCTTACATTCATTCCTAAGGAAATTGCACCTGGTACAACTTCTCTTCTGAAGTCATTGGCCAAAGGATGATACTCTGTCAGAAGCTTTATCATAGCATCTTTATTAACAACATAAATATCCATGCTTGCAAAATTATCATGAGAAATGTCTTTCAATTTCTCTGAATTTTGTACCTGAAATAATGTGTTGATCTTTTACAGTGCTAATTCCTGTTCTTTTTTAGCAGTATGAAATGGCTTAATGAGAAACAAATGAAGAAATTGGAAGTCATACTCTCCTATCTGGATTGTCTTTGAATGCAATGACTTGATTTTCAGAATTTAGTTGGAATGTACCAAATTCTGTATCGTTATCCCTCGTTCTGCTTAACACTGCAACAGTTATATCAGCTCGGTTACTCCAGTGAGCCTCTAAGAGTTCCTGGAAATCCATTTTGTAAAGATGGTAACCGGGAAGCAGTAGAAACTCGAGGATCGGGTACTCTTCTAGTACCCACAAACATCTTCTTATAGCGTCAGCAGTTCCCTGAGAATACAAGAAAATGACCCCATTGTTCCGACAGAGAGAACATATGATTATCTTTTTGGGAAGGTTCCAAACGAACAATTTCAACAAAGTCTTACTATGTTCAACTCTATGTACTCCTCAATCCGTAAAATAAATGAATGTATAGAAATGGCAATAGCAGAGTTTTTCTTATTCATATTAACAACTACTCGAGGGGGAATGTTGTAGCAAGCATTTATAGATAGTTGGAAAACATGCACATAGTAAAGGTTTGAAACTGCCTTTTTGTTTCTTTACCTGAAACCAGCCTTTGCCCTCAGGACTCTGATAAGCTGCAATGACTTCAACTAATGCTTCGTTCCCGATTCGTGCACTCGAATAAGCTCTTGAAAGGTGGGTATTTAGAGAGGCAGAGTTAAATTGTGTAAGTGCATATATCTTCCTTATATTACTATTGATGCAGTTGCTAACAACTGCATCAATGAGTCTGTAGTTTCCTGCAATAGGAAGTGCAGACTCTGATCTTCTCTTTGTCAATGGATAAAGTCTTGAATTTGATCCATCTCCAAACACAATTGCTGCAACATTCTGGAAACAAGAGTAAAGATCTTTTAAATATCTGAGATGAAGAAAAAAAGAACATCTACATTATAGATTCTTGCAATATTGACATTTAAACTTATTCTTTCAAAAACCACTAGCAAAATATAACGACTCAAGCCTGACTGCCAAGGTATTGTCCGCTTTGGCCCAACTTTTGAGACCTCACAGTTTTGTCCCCTTGGATATTAAGCTAAAAGGCACCTCGACGGTTGAATTCCTGAACTTGCATTTAATGGCTCCTAACCTTTCCCTCCCATTTTAATGTGAGATTTGCCTAAAGCAAGTTTCACAGAAAACTCCTTTCGAGTTCAACCGCCAGCGGTCCATGAGCGGTTATACAGATGTAAATAATGTGGATGTTTAAGGAAAAGGTTGACAAGAGTGGGTTGCTCTAGTGGTGAGCACCCTCCACTTCTAACCAAGAGGTGGTGAGTTCGAGTCACCCAAAGAGCAAGGTGGGGAGTTCTTGGAGGGAGGGAGCCGAGGGTCTATCGGTAACAACCTCTCTAGCCCAGGGTAGGGGTAAGGTCTGTGTACACACTACCCTCCCCAGACCCCACTAGTGAGATTATACTTTGTTGTTGTTGTTTAAGGAAAAGGTTATGCAAACCTGATCTGCTGGAGGAATTAGAGAGTTTGGACATTCAAAATGTTGTGTATATGATTGATTCAACTTTGATGGAACAGAAGCTGGAATGAGCCTTGATGTAGGCTTGTAAACATAATGAGGGGCATTAATCTTGAGATTAAACCAAGTAGGAAGAGACATGACTGAATATTTTGTATGTCAAAATCTCTATATCCCCTACTTGCTATACTTTGCTTCATCTTCCCTTTTATGTGACAGGAATTTAAGAAGGGGAAGTTTAGGAGGGAATATTTAGCTTTCTTCTGGTTCATGGACAGTGTAACATGTAGTTTATGAAAACATCAGAATATTTTTGTCCTCCAATTAGTTAGCTTAAAGTGAACCTGTCATATTACATTCGACTGTTATTAAGGTTTTCTTTGTCCCTTTTTTATGGTTCTATGTTTAACTTTGATTCTAAGCTTCTCTTTACATATACAATGTAATTTAAAAAACTTTCTTTTTCTTTCTCATATGATAATCATGTTATTCCTAGGTCTCTTTTTTAGACAAAAAATGCCCATAATCAAATAATTAGTCTACTTTTATCATCTCCATTTATTTTTCATTTCTATGTCATCCTACAACAAAAAAGGATAGCCCGGTACACAAAGCATTCCACATTCATACATGGTCCGAGGAAGGGCCACGGCCAGCGGCGGAGCCACATTGAACAAAGGGGTGTCAAGCAACACCCCTTTGCCGGAAAATTACACTATATTGCTAGATAAGTTTTTTTATTTTATGTACATTTACCATACGTTGACTCCCCTTGACTTTTTGATATATCTAATTATTTATATTTTGACACCCCTTGATGAAAATTCTGGCTCCGCCCCTGGCCACAGCTTAAGGGGTGTGATGTAGGCGGCCAACACAAATGCAAGCATTAGTGGCTGCTTCCACGGCTCGAACCGTGACCTGTAAGTCACACGGAGACAACGTTATCGTTGCTCCAAGGCTTCCCATCTAGGTGCCATCCTACGCCGTTTTACCGGGGAAAAAAAGTTCCTTATTTATATGTTGTGTTTGTGTAAGTAATTATTTTTTTCTAAATTATAATGTGTATAAAGTTGACATCATTTGAAAATAATACAAAGTAAACATTAATTTGAGACACGGCGTAAAATCTTAAAAGCATCATCATTCCATTCTCATGAAACTCATTTACAAGTTGAATTATGACAATAAAATGATAAATTATACAAAGTTATGAGTACACCTCCGGGCAGAAGGGGTAGGGGGAGGGGGGGGGGGGTGGTTTGCATGATGTGATTAGCAATATTTGAAGTTTGAAAGGAATCTTAAGAACGTTTTGCTTATTTTTGGCAAAGGAGAATGGAGTGGATCCAAAGGTAGGCATTATCTCTGCTTTCGTGTCACCTGTTATTGTCCCCTCTAAATTCTATACCAAGCAAGTTTTAAGAATTTTATATCCTATTTATATTATAAAATATGGACTAATGCTTGTAATACTAACAGTGGTCTATGAATAATTAGCTTTACACCTAATAATGAGAAACTTTTTACTATTACGAAAAAGCTAATTATTCCAAATCACATTTTATATAGATAATAATGCACCATGTTTTTGGATCTTTTTCAAGCATTCCTAGCAATTGATCCCACAAAGCTAAGAATTCTCAATTTAAGAATTAATCCAATTGGCTAAATTTTCTGAATATTAATCTGACAGTAACTAAACACTTATACTGAGCCGAGGGTCTATCGAAAACAACTTTTCTACCCTCTTAGAGGTAGGTGTGAGGTTTAATTACACTCTACCCCCCTCAAACCCATTTTGCGAAACTACACAGGGTATGTTGTTGTTGTTGCTATAGTAACTAAACACTTGTAGGATTCAAATGGTAAGTCAACTTAATTCTACAATCTCGATTCAAGAGTAAAAGAAACTTTACTATAGCTAATCATAATATTTAAACTTACACAAATTAGCAGTACATACGAATTAATCATAAACAATACTATAGGACAGTAAGACAGTTAGAAGAGTATATCCTTTTAAAATTTGGAAAAGAAAGAAACGTTAGTTTCTTAAGGAAAAACCTTTTCTATATACCTAATTGACTTGACCACCCCCCCCCCCAACCCCCCTTAGTAAACGATAAATATCATGATAATTTTACTGTATCACTCCTAATTATTATCGTTGGAAAATCAACTTTAACTATTATAAATCCAAAATGTTGGAAAATGATAAGGCTAAAATAATAAATTATCCATTGGTTTTCAGACGGAACAAGTAAAGTAGACATCTATTTTTAATATAATGGACAAGTAAACCTGGACGGAGGGAGTAGGAGGGTAGAATTATATCATCAAAAAAATTGGGAAAAAAGAAGAAAAAGAAATAAAAAAAATGTGCACTATTTCTTCTGTTATTTACTTTTGTTTTCTACTATTGGAGAAAGGGGGTGCTGTATTACCATCGAAACAAGTATGATATCAGTAAATTCAGCAGAGGAAAAGAGAGTTTCTTTTAATAAAATAGGTGTCCGGGCCAACTTGCAAGCACTAACCTCCCACCAATGCAAGAGTAACTAAACCCCCCCCCCCCCCAGTCAAAAGTAACTCTACTTACAGAGGCAACCCGGAAAAAAGAGGCATTATTATTCAAAAATACAAAATTGAAAGATTGCAGTTTTGTCCAAGAATGGCATTCCTTTAAACAATTCTCAATTGAGAATTCTGGTTCCACAGAAGAACAATATCCAAATTACAACAATTTTCTTGCAAATGATACGGCTGCTGGAAACAAGGATCTCTGCCTACTCTAAGGGCTTCAAATGGTGCTCGAACAAAGATGCCATTTCAATCTGAAACATTAACACATTAGTACAAACTACAAAACAAGACTTCCAAGAAAACCGAAGCTATCTGAACTTGGAACATTTCAAGCTGCACTTCAAGCTTTTCATAACAATTTTCACAATAAAAATCAAGTTGAGAGATTTGTGGACCCAAAAATTGAAGTTCTCTATCCAGTAGGAAAGATAAAAACAAATTCCTTTTTTTTTTTCTTTTTCTGTGGCAATGATGGTATCCAAATCAGCTTGTGTGCACCATGGCTATTTCACTAGGTACCTGCTACCTCCCACCAACACAAGTACATGGTAACTCTGCCACTAAGGCTTAGGCAGATGGAAAGAAGACACTAGTATTTTTTGTCTCTGTTGGAATTTGAACCCTGCTCTTCAAAGTTTACACCTACTTCATTGACTAGATCACACCTTGAATGTTCAAAAGACAAACACACTTCTATACCATATATTTCACTTTCTTTACCCTGCTATTTTCCTGTTAAAGTGACATTTGGGTTCAGTCTTCATTAGGTGTATGATAGATTTCTTCGCCAGAAGAAGTGTCGCTAAATTAAGGGACAATTACAGTTCGTATGCACAAATATAGTGATCCAAAGAAAGACCCAACCAAGGAAATGAGAAGTATAACCAAGATCATGCGCTTTTGGAATACAGAAAGTATCAATTGCCAGAGACAAAATCAAAATAGTATCTTCTCAGCTTTTGTCCTTCATATGCATTTTATTCCAAATCTTGTGAATCGGAGCTATAACTCGCACTAAAAATAATGATACTTAAGAAAATACAGAAAAACACCATATAACAAGGGCATTTTGAGCAGAATCAGACAAGATGGATAACGTTTTGATATAATAAGTAATGCCACACAATTACAGGCAACTTACAGCTGTCAATGCTGCTTCGGCACCTTTATTCCCAGACTTTCCACCAGCACGATTGAAAGCCTGCAATATTATGGGATTTTCATCATACGATATGCTATCAAATCACAAAGACGTTGCCTTTGACAGCATGAGAGGCAGGCAGAGAGAAAATAAGGGCAGGGGAGATTAAGAGGGGTTCTGGTCAATTTTCCAGCTAGCCAAGAAGAATGTTGGGATACATACAGATCCAAGAGGCGGTAAATTATAGATCTTATAGAGATCCACAGAAATTAACAGCTACCAACAGTAGTACTTTAATTTGTTCAACTTCATTTTTCTCCCAAAACATTTAGGCTACTCTTCTGATAAACAAGGTGCAATATTAGATGAAAGACATACCAACTGGTGCTCAGAATGTCAAAGATGATTTTTCTCTTGAATAGCTTTAGGTTTAAGTAAGCTGGCCAAGTTAAAAATTATGATATCCTACAGATGGTACAGATAGCACATATAGAGGGTACCATGAAAGTAGTTGCCTAAGATGGTTAGGTCATGTTCAATGTGGACTTCAAGATGTGCTGGTCCATAGGTAGTATATAGGTGTGGCAAAAAAATGATTATAGGTGCAAAAAAGGAATGAAGTAGACTTAAAATCACCTGAAATGAACTTGCCTAACAGGACCTCAAATCTCTTAAAATAAACAGACTTAACTAAAAACAGAACACAATTGAAAGAAAAGATCCACATAGAAGACCAACTAATTGAGATTACACTAGTTACGTGTGTAAAGGGATAAGTGTAAGATTTAGAGAAATTGTAATATGCCTAAAAGGCATATAATAATTTAGTATCATAATGAAATGAACCTGAATAAATATGGAAATGAAGGATTCATATTATCAACCCCAACTGATTCGGGATTGAGGTATAGTTGATTGATTTTAATATAGGCTTAAGTAAGTTAGCTGCACAAGTGAAGGTAGAAATATATGCATAATTACATCAATTCGAGAACAAAGAGCACAGATCGAACTTACTCCAGCATTTCTAATAAACTAAGGTAAAAGATCAAGTGACTCCTAGTATTTTGAGATTTATTCTCTCTATCTCTATCCCCGCCGACATCTACCAAGCATTCTGGTCTAAATATACTCAGTTCTGATCCTATTGATTTTTATTCTACTAGATCAGACTCCTAAATAGGAAGATGTGGAGGTCGAGAATTAGGGTTGAAGGATGATAGGTAGTCGAGAGTTTCTCCTAATCTTACCAGTAGTAGTAGTAATATTCTTAAATTTTCATGTTCACAGATCTTTGTTATTCCACGCTGTGTCATTCTTACCGGTATTGTTCGTACTATTCTTGCATTTCTTATTTCTGGATCTTTGTTATTACATGTAGTGTCTTTGTTTTTTCTTGTTGTTATAGTTGGTTGCTTCCTGTTTATTGTTTCTTAAGCCGAGGGACTTTCGGAAACAACCTCTCTACCTTTACAAGGTAGGAGTAAGGTCTGCGTACACACTACCCTCCCCATATCCCACCTGTGGAATAACACTACTCTACCCTTAGACTCCAGCGCCTCTCTCCAAACTTCGAACCAAGCGTTAACTCCCTCACGCGTCTCATCAATTAGTGCAAGGGCTGGGGCATGATCACTATTTTCCACATATGAGCAATTAACGGGATTAAGATGCAGTTTATGTAATTTAAAATATTCCCTTTGTTCAGTTGACGAATAAACATTTGACACTAGTAAGAAGGACGTTATCCATTTTTCAGATTGCAAATTCATGATTTGCCTAGTTTTGAACCGGGCTGCCCTTTTCTTTTCCTGTCATTTTGAAGTTACTGGAAGAATAAAATCAAATAAAGAAAATGAACGTCATGCAAACTCTTCCCCACCTCTTAAAACTAGACTCCCTGGATATGATGTGTTTTTATGCCATGCACAAGCGTAACTGGTAAAGTTGCTGCCATGTGACCGAGGTCACGGGTTCAAGCCATGGAAACAGCCTCTTGCAGAAATGTAGGGTAAGGCTGCGTACAATAGACCCTTGTGGTCCGGCCCTTCCCCGGACCCCGCACATAGTGGGAGCTTAGTGCACCGGGCTGCCCTTTTTATGCCATGCACAACTGGCATGTGCAGAGAAGGTGAAGATCCAAGCTTTGTTATTTTACTCTAAAGCTATATATGATTGTTAGGACACATTAGTAAAAGGTCATATTTAATTGAAGTTAGAAATTAAAGAAACATAGTAACAAATTACTACGAAATCGCTACCACAATTAGTCGCTACCATAGATATAATCCTACTAGTATGCTTGTGAAGAATAGAACTGATTGCCTAGAAAATTTACCTGTTCCAAGGTATCACATGTCAGAACACCAAATATGCAAGGAGTACCTGCACTCATTACATTAGGGAGATTTTAATATTCATCAGCTAATGCAAAAATAAACTGAAGCTAGCAACTAATGAAAGAAAATAAAGCTACAAGTCACTGTGTGACAGACATGATACTAGAATAAATACCATGAACTTACCAACTCTTACCAAGATACTCCAAGCCAAATTACATTGGAAACATAAAGACGTCTGCTAACTCCCTTCTCAAGTTGTCTCATTAAGAAATAAAGTTCCTTATCCTCTTCCAGCTATTCAGGAAAAGGTTATTTTGTTGCAACCTAAGTTGCTTGGACTCGGGTGCGGGTGTCCGATATGGGTGCGGATCTAGAGGTCAGATCCTTCATGATCGAAATCTTAAGATTCGGGGGTACGGATCCAGGTACGTATATGGGTGCGGGGATTCGGCTAAAAATAATTCAAATATCTAAAATTAGAGTTATAAAAATATGTCTACATTATGAGACATTATGTGAAAAATTTACAAGGTATTCCGAGAACGAGAAAATAATGATTAAGAGTAAAATCCGAGAAGAAGATAAAAAGGAAAATGACTGACACAAAAGTTTCTATATACAAGGTATTCCATTTTCTTCAATTTCACCCAAGCTTTTGTTGTGATTACAGAAAACATTATATTTGTCCCGAATTCCTCCGTCAATTTTGGTCGAAGTACACAAATCGGTTGACCAAATCCGATACGGATCCCACACCCACACCCACGTCGTGTCGACACGGGTGCGGCGCCAAAAGTGAAGAGTCCGAGCAACTTAGGTTGCAACTCATGAACAATTTTCAGTAGATGGAAGTACGCACTAAAATGATTAGATGGCCAAGTTATCCCAAACTGTCTACATTTCATAAGGTGAGAGTCACTTTGGAGTGACGGAACTTTGAAAAATACATGTGACAGGGCCAGGGTGTTGGGAGGGCAGCATGAAATCTATGATATTCCATTTCCATATTTAGCAAGATTAATATACCACGAAGCGTTGACAATGCTCAAGAATTGTACCTTTCAGAAAATAATGCTCATAATTTTTAAAAGATATTTACTTTTATAATTAAAACTAAACAAAACTAAAGAATTAAATGTGGAAGTATATAATTAACTAATCATCTTTATACTATTAATAGAAAAACCGAAACAGTGACCACCCAGAAACTGGTGTCACAACTCATGAACTTTCTACACATTACTACAAATACTGGTCTGAAAGAAAAGAATACATCTGTCTCGAATGTAAATAAAATAGAGATATAGAATGTAGGAGGGGACGCCAGGGCCTGCGGACGCCTGTAGGACTACCTTGGGTCTCTTGATTGAAGTGTCAGCAACCGACCTCTCGATCAGCCACTACCAGCTCCGAAATCTGCATAGAAAGTGCAGAGTGCAGTATCAGTACAACCGACCCCATGTACTGGTAANNNNGAAAAACTGCTTAGCATAGTACTGCATTTCTCTACTTGTACTTTAGCTTCGAATGTTCCAAGTCTAGCAAGAAACAACAATATTAACTTCCATATACGACATACATATGGAAAATATTAGGCATGTCAAGATTTAGATAAAGACAGAAATCAGAAAGATGGATCGTTTGATTTATAGAAAAAACTGCTAGCATAGTATGCATCTCTCTTGTCTTTGCTTCGATGTTCCGAGTCTAGCTTTATATAGACTTTTCTCAATTGGAACACCTAAGCCTTTTGACTAAAAATATTAAAAGTTCCAAACAAGATAAACTAGAAACACTGACCAAGACAAATCATATAATTCAAATACAGCACATTCGGATTGATTTTTCCATTCCTCATCGATGCAACCCCCAAAATAGAAAAAGAGTATGAATTTCAAGTAACATAAACTTCAATAAGGAATTTAAACCCAAATATATTTTTTCCATTAATTATTTTTCTTATCTATCAAAAGTAGTCTTATAATCTGTCATCCCCTCATCTTTGCTTGAATTTTTTATATCCGCCATTACTTTTTCATTAAATTGGAGGAAGGGGTTTGTAACAAAGTCCAATTTTCTCATCAGGAACAAAGGCCACAGTGCATGTTCTCATCAATTCTAAGTTGATTAACAGAATCAGCTCAATAGGAAAACTGATGGTCACGTAAGACATACAGAGCTGAAAAACCAAAAGGAAACTAATTGCAATCACCCGCATTTTCGTAGTCACATAGAAAACCACCAAAAGAAACAGTTGGGAGGAGGTAAGAACAGAACAAGAAGGTACACAAAGTAACATGCAGTTCTGACGGAAGCTTACCACAGCACCAATACACAATATTGATTGATATTTTTGTGACTTGCCAAGTTGCTGTGCAACAACACCAATTTCAAAACTACCAGGAACCCAGACAACCTGCACAAATTTCATTATGAGAGATGATGCCATGAAATGGAAGAGACTACTAATCATGCTGCCTAAAGTCATTGAATCTATGATACGATATATTCTAGAACATAATATCACCATTATGCTATGGTCTTTTTTCTAAATGAAATTATGTTTTTAAAGAAGCTATAATTATATAGTACTTATGCTCTAACATAGCACATAATGGAAAAGACATTTGAAGATCAGCTCTTAAGTACTCCAGTAATTACTAGTAACTACAAGTTCATGAATCCACACAAATTAACTTTCTTTCTTTTATTAAATTTTCTTAGAGGGGGTATTTGTGTAAATGAACCCATCTTAATTGCATAATCAGGTGACCAGTCTTTCTCTTTCCCCTTCTCTTAGGATTTGGCCTACTTTTAATTGCTGATCTGACGTACTAATATTCAATGCGAGCTCAACCAATGACATTCTTTCTTACACCCTCTCATTCATGTATATTTAAATTGAAGGGGAAAACTGAAGGTTTTACTTTGAGTGATGAACCAGAAAAACCGGAGAAGAAAGACCAAAAAACATTGATATATAGTTCATGGAGAAGCTATTATCTAACAATGCCTGGCTCACATTCTATAATCAATTAATCTATAATTTTTTAAGACAGTAGCAAGAACACATAGAGGAGATAAATGTTGAAGATGTACGTCAATGTCTTCTTCTTTGACAGAGTAACTCTTGAAGGTGTCCAAAGCACCCTCCAAAAGCTTCTTCGTGATCAGATCGTTAAAACGTGCCACCACCTATAGAACCACAGAAGGCAATTCACTTTCTGTAATGTAGAAAAGAACCAATAGAAATTAAAATTTGGAACCTATAACAAAGTCAACCGTAGTATCGACTTTAAGTAAAAGCAAACACACAGCAGACCAAATTCATCACCACGGCTGTGGGGTGTGTGTGTGTGTGTGTGGGGGGTGGGGGGGGGGGGGAAGTATTTTGGTTTGAGTTGCTTAAACATAACTATCTTACACCTTGAAATCCTTTCCAGCGAAAAAATGGATACCTAATTATAGCTGGTTTGACTATGTATAATTGATTCTTGCAGTTAATACTCCTTACACTAATCCAATACTCCCTTGGTCCCAATTTGTTTGGCAATTTTGATGGAACACTTAAGGAAAGAAAAGTTTTTTGACACATGAGCTACATATGCATAAAATAACAGAAGTGAACCCCCTGACAAACTAACAAAGTACTTGTTTTACATCCAGTTCTTTCTTGTTTTTTTTTAATCCTTTCTTTTCTATTCTTTTTTGATAACTGAGAAATGCCCAAGACAAACGGCCCATAGTTTGAAACTCGGTAGATAATGGGCCCGGCCCTCTAGCCTTCTCCACTTAAATACTAGGCTTTTGTTTGTTACAAGGTTCGAACCCATGACGTGCGCGTAACCAACATATCACGTGTTGCGCTCTTACCACTAGACCAAAACCCTAGGGGCTCCTTTATTTTGTATTCTTTATTGAGCAGCCATTGTATTTTTTAATTAGAAGAATGGGAATTAACCAATTCCTGTTTTGCCATTCATTTTTTTAATCATCGTGATATCTTTCCCCAAATTCTTCTATACCTGATTACAGATAATCAGTGAAAGCTTTTCCAAATATTATATATTTGGAGTGAAAAGTAGTTCTTTCGTCTCGAAACTGAATAATGCTTGCAACAACTCATGACAATGGTAAACTGTGAGAAATAGGGCCAAACAAATTAGGACAAAGAAATTACCAAAATGTAGAGAGTATGTAGAGGTTAAAGACATAAATTATAAATATCAAACTCCACCAAAGAACCAATATGTAATAATGGAAAAAAAAAAAGGGTAAGAAGGGAAGAAACGGACAATAGCAAAGCGATGTCCCTGTGCAGATAGAAGAGAACCCCTCAACTCTCGAACAGCTGATGTCTGAACTAAATCAGTACGTTTTTGTTCCTTGCTTGCAAATCCAAAACCTAGTCAGTTAAAAAAAGAATTCACAAATTTTAAGCAAAATATAACACCAACCCAAATAAACAAATAAGATAGAAATTGGTACTTACCTTGGGATTGAGTGAAAGAGAGAGCAGCAGTTAATTTAGGTGAAGAAGAAATGGTTGTGTTATGGAAAGATAAGGAGAGGAAGAGACGATGTGAGGGATTGAAAGTTGATTGACGAAGTGGAACAAGACCGATTTCTCCAAATGCCGCAGTAATTGCCATTTTCCTCACTCTTTGGACTGTGAGGTGATATTACAAAGGAAAGGGATGGAAAATTTTACAGCTGGAAATAGAAAAATAAAATTAAGTGAGCTTACTACTACAGAATTTAGTCGAGTTGACGTTCAACTGAATCAAATTCCTGTTAGCCACTATAGTTCAAATACAGTATCAAACAAAAACTAGAATAATGGCAACCTAATTTTCTTGTCCCTTCGCATACCTTCCAACCCGAACTCATAGACGGGTGATTTGCACAAATGGATCATTTTTAAATTTTGACCTTTCTAAAAGAGGTCTTGACAAAATAGCTTTTCATCGAAATTTGGGAAGGTTCGGCAATCCCTAGAATTTTTTGAAAGAATTACCGCCTTGTCACTAGGCCTGACAGCCCAACCGAAAATGGCCCAGATTTAAAATTCTTACCCTATTTAGTTCATGTTGTACATAACTTGAAAGAAACTTTTCAGCCTTTAGCCCATTATTAAAGACACACTTTTAGGGTTTTATTATTTTCTTCTTTCTTCCCGGCACACAAAATTCTCTCACCGCCTGTCGCTTCTTGGATTCGACATTTGATCTTTTCGCTGAGATAAAGGCATAGACCACGACCCCCCCCCCCCCCATTTTTTCATTTCTTTATCTATATTTTGCCAGGTTAAAGAGTCCCCGCTCTCCATGTTCTTGAGAAAGTTTTTCATTTCTTTCTGATGATAGGCTATAATTACGTATTTTAGTCGCTTATTACACTCTAATTTACTGCACTTTAATTGAGTTTGCGCTTAATCGTTAGTGTTTTGCACTAACGGTGTGTTTTATGACTTGTAGGAGTGATTCCGAGATATATAGATGTTATGGAATGAATTCAAGTGATTTAGAGTTTTGAAGTCTGAGTAAAAGCCCAAGAAATTAATCCGGGATCGTATTCGGGGATCAACGGATGATAAAACAACAAAACGAAAACTCGAGGAGGCATATTGCGCACTGTCTAGTAAAATAGACATAACGTTTTGCTCAGAACTCCATTTGGGCTCCACAATATATGGTTGGAAACCTAACTCAAAGAGCTACAACTTTCTTGTTTTACGTTTTTCCAAATTCCAAAAGGAACAAGGTGAAAAACTGCGGTTACGGTAGGACCGCGGCAGAACATTACCAAAGATTCAGAGGACCATTCTGGCCGCGGCCCTGGCGTAACCGCAGTGGGACCGCGGCAGGACGCGTAAATTTCAGGGACTAAAGTGTAAAACAAGGGATTTTAAGCCCTAAACCCTATATTAAACGAGGGAGGCCGGCCAAGAGCGGAAGGAGAAGGATTTTTGGAAGTGAAAAACATCAGAAGGAAGGGCAAGAGGCAAGAATGATCATTGGGCATCAATCTTTAATCTTCTTCTTTGTTCTTTTACCTTTGAATATGAATTCTTTTGTGTTTTTTTGTTATTTTCATGAGTAGCTAACTTTTCTAATCTAAGGTTTTGGTGAAACCCGTTGGGGATGAATTGGTTGTTATAAGTAATATAGATTTGAATTAGTTTATTCTCTATTTGGTCTACTATGTTTTGATTGTGGTTAATTGAAAGGATCCTCAATTAGCCGTTCCTATTTATTATGTATCTGCTTGAGAGAGAGTACATATTTAGGTAGTTGTTTGAACAACATCACTCCCAGAGTATAGGTGAGAGTCATAACCGAGGGTTTAGAGGTTGGATTAGAGATAACGATACCTCGGGTGCGATCTAAGTGAACTGTAATGTGAATCTAGCTAGCGTAGCTTGAGAGAGTGCGTCTAGTAAATTATCATAATTGCTTGAGAGAGATTTATGATAACTGGAGAGTTCATGATTGATAGAGGCAACTAAGTCAACGCTATAAGAAACATACAACCAAGGAAATCAACAACGGGGGAAATCATTACCTTAGACCTTTATTCTAATTGTTTACAATTCAAGCATAGTTAGTTTTCAGATGTTTATTTATTTTTCAATCTTGTCTTCTTGGTGATATTAAACAGATACAGCTAAGCCTTAGTTCTCTGTGGGATTGAATCCGGACTTTTAGACCGGATTATATTTGCAGCGACCGCTTATCCTTTTTAGGACTAGAGTTGGGCGTGATCAAATTTTGGTGCCCTTGCCGGGGAACTAATAGTGTAGTTGTAGCTGTATATATTGCTAGGGTTCAAGTTTGAACTTTTAGTTTGTTTTATTTATTTATTTTTTTTTGTATTTTTTTTAACTGTTGATTTGAGAAACATGGTATCTTGGAATTATGGGAATTTAGGTGTAGATAATTCTACTATTGATCTCCATACATATTGTGAAGGAAATCACCCGTGGCAAAATTTTCAAAACGTTCCTAAGAGCGAGTTATGTGCACCAACTCAATCTTATTTGTGGAATGTGTGTGATGTGTGTGGTGGTAAAAATGGTCACCTTCATGGTTGTGATTATATTTCTTATTTTCCCCCAACCCCTTACTATGATGGTTCTACCTTTTCTTGTGAAGTTAATAGGAACAAAGAACCTGGGAATGCGGACCCGAAGGAGATCAAGGATATGCTAAAGTGCCTTCTGGAACAAAACAATGAGAAACAATTGCACATAGAAAGGCAAGAGGCAACTATTCGCAAGTTGGAGGCTCAATTGAGTCAAGTGGTTGGAGCTTTTAATGCTCAACAAGCCAATATTGAGGATAGTAGCCAAGAAGAGCATGAATTTGAGGTGTTAATTGGGGAGGTCAGAGTAGAACATCAACAACCTAGCCAACTAGAATTTGAGGATGTCAATGTTGAAGAAGTAATACTAGAGTCAACCAAGGACGTTGAAGATACAAATTTAGTTGACTCTAGTGTGATTGGAGTTGAGGAGGTTAAAAATCTTGAAGTTCATGTATTTGAGCGCGTTGGGCCTCATTCCAAACACTTCTCTACATTATGTTCAGACGCTGAAATGGAAATTCACCCTTATGAGCATAAAAAGGAGTCCAAGGAAGAGGTAGATGAGCCTTATATTTTGGATTTCTCAAGGCCGTCTAGGCAAGGTGACACTCCTTGGTCGAGAGCCAACAAGTGCATAAGATTTTATCTAATTTTTGGCTCGCAAGAATTTGTACCGCCCCAAGAGCATAATCATAAGCTTGAAGCAAAACTTGGGGTTCAATTCATAAGCTCGAGGTGGAGGCAAAAAGTGATTCGCGTCGTGCCGCGACGTTAAATCAAGCGCTTGTTGGGAGGCAACCCAACTTTATTGCTTTCTTTTATTTAGTTTTTTAGTTTTTTTTAATTGTATTATTTTTGTAGTGTCAATTTTTTAGTTTTTTTAGGATAATGGAAAGCAAAGGTATTGGAAGGATGCAACAGCAAACCAAATGGCTGGAACTAAGTGTGAGGTACCCGCACGAAG